ATTGTGAGTAACTAATTTAGTTCACGAGCGGTGTAGAGTGCCCAATCAGCTGTAGGCATAAACCAATATCATAAGACACGCAACATTTTTCCATGCCTCCATCACTCTAACAAATATTTCAGTTCTGCACACGAGCCTTCAAGCTCACTACTGTCTGTGGATCACACCCATATTACAACCCCCCACTATGACCACATCTCTGTCATGTCATAGGGTGGTCATATTCCCAGTGTGTCCACCATGCTAGTCCGATGTATATCCACAGGGACGTGATGCCGTACCCTCCCTCTGACCTCTGCCCAGTGAAGTTCCCGCCTACACGCTACTACTCATGCTGCCAACTACGCCGCTCACTCAAATCACTACCGCCTGCCTCAACGCATTCCAATGTCATTGGAAGCATACCCCATCTGCGCAACATGTAGTTGCAAAACGTTGCGTCCCTCGAGAACCTTAAGCAAGTAATCACTCGCGACCGATAGAACCGTCGCGGCTGATCGACAGGAAACTTATCAATGAGAATCGCCTCATGATTCATATGCAACTGAATCTGACTGAACGGAGCAGATGCAAGCGGCAAGTCAACAGGCTGCTTCGCCTGATCCTTACAGCCTTCTCACCTGCCCCACACAGAACTCATCGCATCAGCTCACCTACTTGCCTTCGCTGTACACTTCAGCCGATGACCTAACTCCTGTCGATACTCATAAGACGTCTCCCGCATCGAAGATCGTTGTAACAACCACGACTCATACCATCCACACGGCCGACAGCTGACCACCTGCTGCCTTTCCGGAGGCGGCATATCAATCCCTTGAACATGCGCCTTAATCTCATCGATCATATATGAACGCACAACCCCCAACGCAACTTCCACATCATACTTCAAATTGGGCAGGACAGCAACGATTTTGGCCGGGCCATCATACTGCGTAGCCAACGCATGACCAGCACCACGGATTTTGTACCTCACCCAGTCACCTACAGCAAACGCTGGCGCATCCACACGATGCAAGTCAGCCGCCTTACCCTGAGACTCCTGCGCACGCAGATCACGTTGCACTGCAACCGCATCACGCACCATAGCCTCCGTACTACGCTCTGTTAACAGCATTACCAGAACCCTCTCTTGCAGCTGGTCCCGCTGAGCATGCAGAAATGTACGCCCCGTCATGTGAAAGTACGGGGAAACCCAGTAACCGAGTTCACCGTCGCATTGTAAGTCCGGACCACATCATAAACTGAGTATACCCATGACCCTACGTTCGCATCAGCAGCCGCCACATCACACTTGAGCCAGTCCTTCACCGTACGGATGAGAACCTCCGCTCTCCCATTGCCTTGGTGACGATTGATCGACACATAACGCGGCACAATCTGTCTAGCCTCACAAAGGTTAACCATAGCATAGGTGCTGAACATAGAATCAGCGTCCATCGTAACCCTCTGCGGCACTCCCAGCGCCACAACTTTCTCCTCCAAGAAGCGCACAGCATCCCCATCAGTAACACTAAGCGGAAAGATCCGAACAAACACCTTGTGAGTAAGGTATCCACCGCCAAAAAGGCATACTTCATACCCCCCGCATTCGTAGTTGGGGGCTGAACAAAATCCATGCCAATCTCAGCCAAAACTGAATCCGGACGCTCCGGCTGCTAGAGCTGCCCTCAAGTCAGTCCAAGAATTGGAGAAACCTCCTGACACGGCCCACAGCTACGCCTAACATGCTCACACTGCACCCGCCCGCAAGCCAGTCCAACCCCACAACTCTTTCACGAGATGGATTAAGCGATCCGGTGCGACATGAGAGAATAGCTCATGCGTGTAACGCAAGACACGCATGACAACAAGACCTCCCACTTCAATACCATACAGCCCACATTGCACGTCTTCGAGAAACTTCCTTTCTGTGCGCGGACCAAAAACCGGCAACCCAGGAGATGCATCCACCCCAGATGCTGCCAACTGCTCCCGAGGTCTGGCCAACAAGAACGCCGGTTCCTCAGACGGAGGCTCACCACTAGCAGCCACCGCCACCTCAGCAGCGGATGCCCGCAACCGTTGCGCACGAGTCATGACAGCAACTGCACGGACCTGATGCGCCTCAAACTCACGCTCAGCCCGACTCATGGACTCCTCCAACACCAACTCCCCAGGCATGACAGTGGTCGTCATGAAAGTACATGAACCAACCACATGCTCAACTGGTTGTAAGGAAAACCCCCTAGCCTGGGGTCACGTTCACAACGGACAGGTTTCTTAACTACATCAGCCTCTGCCGGAGCCACTCAATTCTGCACCATACAGGACTCGAAGTCATCCGGTCGCACAGTCAACGCGCCAAGCACAGCACTGGTCAAAGGCTGATGCGCGTCCACCGCCGCCCAAAACTCTTCAGCCAACGTGAACTTCTCACAACGAGGACTAAGATGGCAAATTAACGTCACAAACGGCGGCGGCGGCATCGACTCACGCCCATGCTTCAAAAACACACCATGCATAGGCGGAATAACAATTGGCGTATCCGCCAACGATGGTACTATCTGCTTAAACCAAGCAGCCCCCGGATAATACGGCACTCCCAGCGTCACAGTGGCTCTATCCGACTTCAACCGCGAAGCAACAGCATCCAACTTGGAGAACAGAGCATTCATATACCAACTCCTCCCGAACAAAGTGTACAAAGCAAACACCCCACCTTCTAAAGTGGGCGAGGAATGCGGCACCATCAAGTTACTGCCCGACAATGCAAAGCCTTCAACATCAAAGGGACCAACCCTCTGTCCTCTGCAACGCCTTGTCAAAATGCTTGAGTGCCAACGAATACTCTTCCGTGTCAGGCACCGTAACCAGAGGTCTGCAAAACTCACACGCTTCTTTATCAACGGAGACTCCACTTGCATAATCGGATCAATATGATACCCAAAACAAGACATCACGTCCGCTACCGGATTATCTTCACCCAGAATATGCTTCAAAGCCAAGTTAAAGTCCCGCAAGACCTGAACATACCGACCCATAAGCCTGCCCCGCATTGAATCGTCAAACTCATGTGGCTCCTTCCGCATCATAGCCACTAACGGCTCATGATCAGTATAGACCACCAAGCCGTGCACCGACCGCCTAACAATCCGCCAAGCCTTGTGCAACACATATACAATGGCCAAGGCTTCCTTGTCAGTAATATGGTAGTTGAGCTGTGCAGCACTGAACTTGGAAGACCACAAGCCTACCGAACAAAAAAAACACACCCCCAGCCACACCAACAGAATCACAAGCATCACAGTAGAGCTCCAGTTTGTCACAAAACTATGGTTCAATCAAGACTGCACGTTCAGCCACACCCTTCTACACAGTATCAAACGCTGACTGCTGAAGCGAGCCCCAGTAAAAACCAACGTCGTCGCTCAACATATCAGACAACGGTGCTGTAATCCGCGCATAATCTGGTATGAACTCAAGCCAAAACGTGAGAGTATGAAACCATGATTTCAATAAATTCTTCGTCGTTGGCCGAGGCATCCGCAAAATGGCCTCCAACCGATCCTCAGAGACGGACGCACCATTCTCATTGACCATCCGGCCCAAAGCCAGAAACGGTTGTGTGTGATACACAAAGCTAGACTTGGCCAACGACAACCTCACGTTATACTTCTGACAGGCCGCCACAAGTACCAGCAGAGCATCCCAATGCTCACGACCATCATCATGCCCTGTACCACTATCATCAATGTACATCACATGATTAGTCACCTCGTTAAAAACTAACTCCATGCGCTTCTGCATAATTCACGAGGCCGGCTTCAGCCCAAACGGCATCCTTATGAACTTGTGAGGTCCCCACGGAGTCCAAAAAGTGGTATACTGCTGCGACTCTTTACTCAACTTCTGCTGACAGAAGCGATCAACAATGGTCCTATACTTGCGCCCCCTGACTGACGACAAAAATTGCCTCTCTGTCGGTACCGGGTACGCCTCCCACTCAAACTGCGTGTTAGTCTTCTTATAGTTAATACACAGCCGCCAGTTATCAGCAGTCAACGGATCAAAGCCAGGCTTTTTGTACACCAAATGTGGCATAGCACACCACTTCATATTCTTCATCTCTGACTTGTTTAACTCTTCCTAAATACCACCCCGATTCAAGTCACCGATCTTAACCTTCAGGACCTTCTTTCTGGGCATCCATATCCTTGTGATTGTACACATGGTACTGCGGCACCGCATCAGCACGCACCCGCAATTCAACACCTGGCCAATTTACAAATGTCGGGTTCTCTTTGTCATAAGCAATAGATTTTATAGCTACCACCATAGCCTCAATGTCAGCCTGTGGCAGTCCAATCTCCTTGCCCAACACCCTCAACGGTCCTTCATCAAACAACTGAAAGTCTTTATTCGACCCACCTGGGTCTGTGCCTATGTCACCCACCGGTAAGTCCACTGGCGCTAACACATCTGGAATCCGGGGCAAAATATGCTCCTCAACCAGGTCCAGTTCATCCTCCTAGTGCATCCGCTCAACACGCTCTTTCATCACCTGAAAGTGCGCTGTCGCTGCTGCCACATGTTGCTTCTGCATTACACTAGTAAACGCACCCGTTACGTGTATAATACTCATCGGACGCCGCAGCCTCGCCTGCGTACCATTCTGCTCTGCCTTAACTTTCCATGGACGACGATTTCGAGCCAAAGCCCTTACCCTCCGTCCTTGCCTTGGTGTCAGCATGGTCTCCAGCTTGACCAACGCCTGCTTCCTTGGTAACACTGCTCTTGCTACCAATCCAGGCCTCATTGCCACATGCAGCAAAAAGTACATTCTATCTCCATTCTGCACTAGCGCCAACCGCTTACTGCTATCCAACATCAAGTTTAGGCCATCCTTAACCATGATGCCGTGACCTACGAACACATCCATCATCATTGGTAGCGAACCCACTACCAGCATCCTCAGCACAGGTTGCAATAATCGCTCGTGCCAACTCATCATCTGCACTGGTGCCTTAACCACCCAAAGGGTGCAGCTGTCCCCATTTCAGCAATACCTCCAAGCGGCAGACCCATGTACCTAGCCACATTCAGACCAGCTCTGCCTGCCAACACCTTTGATATCAGATTGGGCGTAGCACCCGAATCTGCATACACCGATATAGGAATCACTCCTATCTCTCCTGCAATGACACCACCTCTGTTAGTCGTGGCTTCTTCTAACACCACTGCCCCTATAGGGATAATATTATTTATTTCAAAAATGGCAAGTGTAGAAATACGGCCTCCGGTC